CTCAAGGTAACATCACAAGAGCTTTGTAATACACCGATGCATGCTCGAGAAGCAACGAATTATCTAACGTTTCTAAAGTACGAGTGGTTATTTTGAGACGATAATTGCAGGAACGATAACCAATTATTAGTAATAAATATGAGTATCACCAATATTTTCATAATTAATATTAGAATCTATACCAGCTTGAAAGCCACGCCTTCCTTCAGCCATGTTGTTCTTAAAGTAAAAGCACATCGCGACGATAAAACTAATGTGATAAAATTGAAATTAAAAAATCAGTAGGATAAAGGACTTTTGATTGGTCGAGACAAGTGGAATTCATGAACCACATTCGAAGATAGTTCGTCATTGAAATAACTACATTAATACCTTTTGTTTCGGAAATTGACAAAGTTGAAAGTACATGTGGAATCTTGAAAACGTCCTGTGAAAGTCATTTTCAGGAGCCATTTTTAAAAGCTGCATTTCAGCACTGCATATCTATTTTTCCCCATCACAAGTTTATAAATGATGCTAGTATAAAATAACGCGTTACAGTGAAAATGGAAATGATTAAACTCGTATAAAATGCTTTTCCTAGAAATGTATATCCATTATGGACGGCAGAGTGCTGCAACGCCTTCCCTAACCTTGTAGCAATGCAATCAACTACATCAACAGATGAACGTCTTTCCATAAATCACAGAAAACGCGAAGTTGTAAACACTGACACACGGACATCTCGGTGCTGTGATCCCAGAAGTGTCAATTCAGTGAGGTTTCACCGCATTATTAAAGATCTCTCCAAAAACGAATCATCATTCATTATTATTATATTATTTATATATCATTAACATCTCCAAAGCAGAAACGAGCAGACTAAACACATCTGCAAACAAACAAGGAATGTAGCTAAATCATTAGAGAGACAAGACCATCAATCTTGAGACAAAGTATATCCCATGAAGTGTTAAAAACCAGAAATTTAGAAGAAACAGATTCGGCAAGATTAAATATATAATTTCCGGAAAAGAATGGTTGTACTTCTCTGAAAAAATATGGAGTGGGATTAAAACGCATTCTCTGGTAGCGTTACAATAATCACAGTTATTAGTTTAGTTGCATTATTTATAACAATATTTCTGACAAAAAAATATTTTTAAAAAAAGTTTGCAAACTCATTTTGCACGAAGTTCAACTCCAATGAACGTTCTGCTTACAATTTCTATGCCCGGGATGCACCTAGTGTCATGTTTCTCTTCAAGCCCCCAATGCTGTGTAAGAAATACCACAGGCAAAACAACACTGCTCCCGAGCAGGAAAAAAGCCCTCGAACCGCAAAGCACCTTCCACCGAGGGCCGCACCCCGCAGCAGCGGTGGGTGCACGGATAGAGGCGGAGACGATGGCGGTAGCGTGGCGGTGGCGTCCGCGGTGGCGACAGCGGCCGTTGTGGCGGTAGCGAAGGCGGGGAAGTGGCGGGGAGGGACGGGATCG